ATTGTTTGGAAGTTCATTGTTTAGTTTCCAAGTGGTGTTTCCAGTTGGAGATTTTCCTGTTGTTGTTTTCTAGTTTGATTCCGCTGAGTCAGAAAACACACTCTATGATTTCAGTTCCTTTAAATGTGCTGAAGTTACTTTGTGACCCAGGGTATGATTTATCTGGTATATGTTCTGTACACCCTTGGAAAGAATGTTTATTCTGCAGTTCTTGGATAGTTCAGTTCAGTTCAGTCGCTCAGTCGTGTCCGACTCTTTGCGACCCCATGCACTGCAGCACGCCAGGCCTCCCTGTCCATGACCAACTCCCAGAGTTTGCTCAAACTCATGTCCATCGAGTCAGTGATGCCATCCAACCATCTCATCCTCTGTCGTCCCCTTCTACCACCTTCAATCTTTCCCAGAATCAGGGTCTTTTTCAATGAGTGAGTTCTTCACATCAGGTGTACAAAGTATTGGCGTCTCAGCTTCAGCATCAGTCCTTCCAATGAATATTCAGGACTGATTCCTTTAAGATTGACTGGTTGGATCTCTTTGCAGCCTGAGGGACTCTCAACAGTCTTCTCCAACACCACAATTCAAAAGCATCAATTCTTCAGTGCTCAGCTCTTTATAGTCCAACTCTCACATCCATACATGACTACTGGAAAAACCACAGCTTTGACTATATGGAACTTTGTGGGCAAAATAATGTCTCTACTTTTCAATATGCTGTCTAGGTTGGTCATAGCTTTTCTTCCAGGGAGCAAGCGTCTTTTAATTTCATGGCTGCTGTCACCATCTGGAGTGATTTTGGAGCCCAAGAAAATAAAGTCTCACTGTTTCCATTGTTTCCCCACCTATTTGCCATGAAGTGATGGGATCTGATGCCATGATCTTAGTTTTTTGAATGTTGAGTTTTAAGTCAGCTTTTTCACTCTCTTCTTTCAACTTTCATCAACAGGCTCTTTAGTTTTCTTCACTTTCTGCCATAAGGGTGGTGTTATCTGAGTATCCGAGGTTATTGATATTTCTCCCCGGAAATCTAGATTCCAGCCTGTCATTTCACATGATGTACTCTGCATAGAAGTTAAATAAGCAGGGTGACAATATACAGCCTTGAGATTCTCCTTTCCTGATTTGGAACCAGTCTGTTGTTCCATGTCCAGTTCTAATTGATGCTTCCTGACCTGCATACAGATTTCTCAAGAGGCAGGTCAGGTGGTCTGGTATTTCCATTTCTTTCAGAATTTTCCACAGTCTGTTGTGATCCAGAGTCAAAGTCTTTGGCATAGTCAATAAAGCAGCAGTAGATGTTTTTCTGGAACTCTCTTGCTTTTTCAATGATCCAGTGGATGTTGGCAATTTGATCTCTGGTTCCTTTGCCTTTTCTAAAACCAGCTTGAATATCTGGAAGTTCACGGTTCATGTATTATTGAAGCCTAGCTTGGAGGATTTTGAGCATTACTTTGCTAGCATGTGAGATGAATGCAATTGTGTGGTAGTTTGAACATTCTTTGGCGTTGCCTTTCTTTGGGATTGGAATGAAACTGACCTTTTCCAGTCCTGTGGCCACTGCTGAGTTTTCCAAATTTGTTGGCACATTGAGTGCATCACTTTAACAGAATCATCTTTTAGGATTTGAAATAGCTCAACTGGAATTCTGTCACCTCCTCCAGCTTTGTTCTTGGGTAGAGTGTTCTATAAATGCCAATTCAATTCTGTTATTGAGTTTTTTAGTTCTTCTGCATTTTTTTCATCTAGTTCTCTCAAGTGTTGAGAGAGGAGTGTTGAAGTCCCCAATTATTACTGTGAATCTGTCTCTCCCTTCAGTTCTATCAGCTCTTCACACCTCTTGCAGTTCTTGTTTGGAGCACACACATGTAGGACTGCTGTTTTCCGGTGGACTGAAGGTTTCATCGTTGTCTGTGTCCCCCTCTTTCCCTGTGAACTTTCTGCTCTGAAGTCCGCATTGTGCACGCACACTCAGTCGCTCAGTCGTGTCCGACACTGCGACCCTGTGGACTGGAGCGCCCAGGCTCCTCTGTTCATAGGATTCTCCAGGCAAGAATACTGGAGCAGGTTGCCATTTCCTCCTGCAGGAGATCTTCCCAACCCAGAGACTGACCCAAGTCTCCTGAGTCTCCTTCGTCGGACAGACAGATTCTTCACACTTAGCCACCTGGGAAGCCCAAAGTCTGCATTATCTGATGTTAATGAAGCTTTTTCTGGCTTTCTTTTGGGTGATATTTGCATGGTGTATCTTTTCCATTCTTTTGTTTTTCAACCTACTTATTTTTATATGTTTGAAGTAAGTTTCTTGTAGAAGGTATATAGTTTTAAAATTTATTCTCCTAATCTCTGTCTTTTAATTGGTACATTTAGACCATTAATATTTAATGTTATTATTGATATATTAGGGCTTAAACTTGTCATTTTATTATTTGCTTTGTTTTGCTTTCCCTGCCTTCGTGAGGGCTAATTCAATATTTTTGAGGGTTTCATTATTTTGATTTATCTATAGCACTTTTGAGTTCATCTCTCGTTGTAGGAGACGATGGTGGGGATTCTGATCTCAGCCGATACCTTCCCGGTTGGGAGGCACAAGTGCCCCTGGTTATTACTCCCCACCACCGGCCCCGCGTGTGAGCGAGCAGTCATGGGCGTCCTGCCTCCTCCACTGGCCTCCTGTAAATAAAGGAGCAGTTTCATTATCTCAGGAAAATATCAACTAGATGTGTTTTGGGGGCAGGAACCTGAGACATAAAGTGATTCTCCCCTGGCCATGGAAGAACCACCGAGCCTATGGCTTTTAGTCACTATGACAACAGAGAACTCCACGACCGTGTCATTTAGGGGGGGTAACGATTTACCTGAATTCAAGCTATACCGTCAAGTTAATTCTTTCATTTGCTTTGAGTCTGGAATCTTCTACCGAACTGAGGCTAGCTTTTTTCAACTAATTGCTTTGCTTGGTTGAATTCCAAATGCTTTTTTTCTCTTCTCTGGTTTTTAGCTATTTACATTTCATCCAGTCGGATAAAGCAGATCTCAGGCGTTTGTCTGGACTGCCAGGGATCTGAACAGGGGTGTGGACCCAGGCAGGCTCAGAGCCCAGGCCGTCTTCCCTCCACCACTACCTGACCTGGATGGTGGAGAGAAAGGGCTCAGATCCACTTCCCTCTTTGTGGGGAGGAGGCTTCCCCGCTTTGGCCGGGATCCATTCAAAGGGCCAGTTCTTTTCATCTTCGGGGAAAACAACCAGCTCATTATTTGAGAGTTTAAAGTAGACATTTCCTCCACCCCCATAGTCAAGGATCTGTCTGGACCTGCTGGAGGAAACTCAAAATGCCTCTAGGGTCGGAGCTTTGTCTCCTGCTGGCGGATACTCCCCTGAGAAGACCTCATATTTCACCTGGTAGGGTTATTGAGTTCCACAGTCTCCTTTTAAAAACATTTATGGGAACTTGCCCCCTTCTTACTACAAGTGGGCTGATAATAACAAGTTTGGGGGGTGGGGAAAGGCTAGCTGGAGGAAACACAAATAAAAATATTCCCTGATTCCATCAGTCATTTTTGCTGTTCGGTCGCTGTCCAACTCTTTGCAGCCCCATTTCTGGCGCATAATTTTATTTCCTTCTATATTTTATATACAGAATTTTAAATTTCATATCTTATGGATACTCTTCTGTTCTTACATAACTTTTAAAAAGAAATTTCCAGTCTTTATCCCAAAGGTAATATTATTTTTTTAAGTAGAAAGGGAAACCCCTCCTCATCCACGTCTCCTTTTTCCTCTTTCCACTGGTGACCTCTGTTATCAGTTAAGTGTGGATCCTTCTATACTTCATTCTAGAGCATTATAGATGATTGGATTAAGGCCAAGACTACTGTTGCACAACTTCTTTCACTTTACAGCTCGCTGACAACTTTCTGTCTTGTACTTTTAAATGTTTTTTCCCTCTTTTTTCATACATTTAAAATTTTAAAAATGTGTTCAAGGTAAATCATGCCCAGTTGAAACCATTTCCATAGGTAATGATTACTACAGCCACCCCGACTAATCCAATTAGCCATTTCACAGGTCACCTCCTCCTTCACTTAACGTGAAAGGTATTTATCCTATTATTGTAAAGACCTTGCAGGTTTCACGTGGTGGTGGGTTCATGTAATCCATCAAACGAAGGACCACAGTTTCCCATGTAAGTACCGCACGCTAACCCATTGCGCCACTGGGGCTTCTGGACCAGGTTTCCTGCCCATTCCCAAGTGCCTTAACAGTTTTACCAAGCATGATTCTCATTTTTTGTTATCATGAATCAAAAAAATGAACATTTACCTCTGAAGAGGATCACTACCTTGTTTATTTTTTGGAAGATAGCATTCCTAATATTAAAAACTATTTTCCAAAGAGTTATATAGAATCACAGCCCTATAAGCAGTTCACATGAATGCTCACTTCTTCCTGGCCTCCCCGGCAACTTGTGTTTTTGTTTTCGTTTCTGCTATTTTGATGGCAGTACTTCGTGTTTAGTCCCTCACGAGCCTGAGAAGTGTTCCAGATGCTCGTCATCTCGCTTGTCTGCCGTGCGTGCTCTTGTTTTAGGGCACTTTTGATCAGGCAGGAGCTTAGGGAGGGAAAGGGCCAGAGCCAGGACCCAGGGCCCTGTGGGCAAGTCGTCGCCTCGAGAATCCATAGCTTTGCTTTTTTAGGCTATGATTATCTTTCTCCAGCAGCAACCTGATGGTTGAAACTGGAGCTACATTAAAATAACACTGCTATGCACACTTGAACCTGGAGCCGGTTTAAAATAACACGGACCCCTCACACTCCTCTCTGCCAGGCTGGGGGGCAACCTTGCCTGGGGTTTGTTTGTTCAGTGGTGTGACACGCAGCCGGGAAGCCGACAGGCGGGGCTGGGGACGCGTCGGGGAGGTCTGGGCGCAGCCTGCCGGCCTGGGGGCCGGCTTCTCCGCGCTCCCTGCCGCTTGCTCCAGACCTCACTGTTCAGCCAGCTCACCCGCCGGCTGCCCGGGAGTCTCGGCGGCCGCCCAAGGACTCTGAGAGTGCAGCTTGGTCAGACCTCTTGGTCCCATGAAAGCCAGGGCCCGGAAGCCTTAACGGAGGAGGATGATCCCTGGGGTTGCCGCTGGTCTTCGCGTCGGGGGCTCTGTCCCGGCTCTCGCTGAGCAGGGCCTCAAGGGTTGCTGCAGGTTCCTGATGCAGCAGTTTCACCCAGTTCTCTGGCATCTGCTGTGTGCCGGCTCCTCTCCCCGCATCCTAAGCAATCCAGGGGGAAAGCTGCGATTTTTCTGGGATGTCCTGCTTTCAAGTGTGATATCCCAACACATGCTTTCTTGACCGCCTTTGTGCAGAGAGCTTTCCAGAGCTGTGTGCCCACCTAGTAGCATTGACTAGCGAGTCCTGGGCTCCGGTCAGTCTCCGGGTGAACCCTTGACACACATCACCTCAAGTGATCCTCACACCAACCCCGGGAGGAAGGGGTTGTCACCCTCGTCCTGTAGGCAAGTAAGCTGGGGCTCAAAGAGGTTAAAGGGCTCAAACGAGATCATATACTGGTGGTGAAGGAGGCCAGGATCTGCACCCAGGCCGAGCTGATGGCAAAGCCTTAACCACAAGGCTCTGCTGGCCAGTTAGGAGGGAAAATAAAAGACCCCAGGCGCTGGTCTGCGGAGCACACTTCTGCGCCTGGCATTGGGCCAGGCATTAGGGCACGGAGACAGAAGGGCTCTTGCCTCCACGGAGTATCGACAAAAGTCACAGAGACAGAACCACCAGAGACCGCGCTCTCAGAGTGTGTGCATCTGTCTATATGTATGGTTTCCCTGGCAGTCAGCGGCAAAGAACCCCCCAGTGATGCAGGAGGTGTGGGCTTGATCCCTGGGTAGGGAAGAGCCCCTGGAGGAAGGCACGGAAACCCACTCCAGTGCTCTTGCCTGGAGAATCCCGGGGACAGAGGAGCCAGTGGGCCGCCGTCTATGGGGTCGCACAGAGTCAGACACGACTGAAGCGACAGCAGCAGCAGCAGTCTGTTAAGACCGTCAGCTGATTGGATGAGGCCCACCCGCATTGCAGAGGGTGACCTGCAATATTACTATCATCTAAAAATACCTGCACAGCAACATCCAGACTGGTGTTTGGCCAGATATCTGGGTGCCGTGGCTTAGCTAAGTTGACACATAAAACTAACCACCACAGACGCTGTAATTTGGATAGGCGTTCCTTTATATCCCCTTTATCTTTAAAAAGAACTTTGTTGAGCAGCAGTTGGCAAACATAATTGTGAACATTTAAAGCGCTCAGCATGATGATTGGTATGCGTATACACTGTAGGCGATTACTAAGATCAACATAATCAGCACATTCATCGCTTCACACAGTTAATGCTTGATAATCTGTGTATGTGAGTGTGTGGGAGGGTCCTTACAGCCTACTCTCAGCGACCTGTAAGCGTGCATTGCTGACCACAGTCACCATGCTGCGTGTTAGCTCCTCAGAAGTCGTTCTTCTTACAGCTGAAAATTTGTACTTAAATCACTCTATGGATTTAATAGATTTAATCTATTTTGATTTTAACTTAAATCACTGTTTTCTCCTCATCCAGTCTCCGGCCACCACCATTCTATTCTCCATTTCTGTGAACTAAAATTTTTTTCTGTTTTTTAGATTCCACATATAAGTGATACCGCACGGCGTTTAGGGTGGGTGTTCTCGCTCTTTTTTACTTTTTTAAGCTTTTTATTTGAAATAGATGGTTCGTAGGAAGTTGCAAAGGTGTCACAGAGAAGCCCCATTTACCCTTAAGTCTGCCCCACATCTTGTAAATATATAATGCCAAAATCAGGAAGTTAACGTGGGTCCAATCTGCGTGTGTTCGGTGTCATTTTATGACACAGGCAGATGACTCTATCATCAGTCGGGATACAGACTACCCTTCCCTGCAGAGACAGCCCTTGGTGCTCTCTCTTTACAGCCACACCCACCCCCTGCCCCTCCACCTTCCCAAACCCCTGGCAACAGCTGTATGCTCTCCATCATCACAGTTCTGTCCTTTTGAGAATATGAGAGGTGATCGTTTTTACTGTACACTGGAGTTTAGCTGATTAAAGGACAAGGTGTAGCTGATTAAGGATAGGCGTTCTTAATGCTTATGGGGTCACTTTCTCTCTGAGCATTTAAAGGAACCAACAGGGATGCCCTTAGCTTCCCTTCAGTGTGGAATGGGGAAGCTGCGGCTCGGGGCAGGGCCGTAGCTGGCCTGAGGTCCTGGTCGAGTTGGTGCAGAACCAAGACAGGAGTCTGCTTGCCTGGCTCCCTGTGAGCGGTCTCCATCTCCTGGCAGGGCTGGGGGTGGCGTTCTTAGCTTTGGTTTCCGCAGAAGGAGACGCTGAGACAAGAGTTTGAGTGCAAGTCTTTATTTGGGAGGCGCCGCACGCCCTGGAGAGCAGTGGGGAAATGAGACAGGGAGGGAAGTCAGGGAAGGTGCGTTAGTAGCCCGTTCCCATGGTTACCACCTGTGGGTGCTGGGGGCTTGACCGGCCAGGGAGCCGGGGTAGTGGTGTGGAGCTCGAGCCCCCGAGCGCGCCCGGCAGGGGCATCGATGCACCTACTCCTGCTGGTCTGGGCAAAGGGCCGCTCCGGGGGGAGAGTTCCCTGCACCCTGGGCCTGGTACTCAGAGGGTACCGTGGGCAGAGAGCAGGTGCTGGCACTCGGGGGCTGGAGCTCTGTGAGCTGAACAGCAGGGCATGGAGGGCACATCTGTCAGAGGGGGTAGGAGTGTCCGTCCCCTTCGAGGAGCAGAGGACACTGGGGACACACTCCGCCCGAAAACACAGGGAACGTTTTGCCTGCAGTGCGATGGTTCCCAGACCCCTGGGGACGCTCTCCCTCCAGTGACCCTCCCCTCCTCTCCCCATCCCTCCCCACCCGGAGAGAGTCGAGGCTTTCTGACCGCTGCCCCCCACCCACACGCGCTCAGGAACTCTTCCGGAGAGAGGAGCCCAGTGAGTACAGTCTGGTCGCCCACGAGTGGGTGCCCTCCACTTCCCTGAGCTTCAGAGCAGCTGGCCCCCTGGCCACCCCCCCTCAGTAGTCCTTCCCAAGGTTGGCAAGGCCTCTGCCATCTGCTGCTGGAGGTTCTGCCCTGGTTCTGTGTGGGCCGTGTGGATGAACTTGAGCCACACATGGTTGGTTTCTGCAGTTGCCTCTGTATCTGTGTGCACTTCTGCAAATTGCAAAATGTATCATGCATTCAGACGAGGGTGTAACATGCAGCCATTTTAAGGAGTAACAACAGAGTGGACGTCTTGTAAACCCCACCCAGGCTGAGGAACAAAAAGTCTTTAGTACCCTTGAAACTGAGCACACCTTCCTCCCCGCTTATAGCTTATAGACTCCTTTGGGTTTCTACATATGTAATCATTCTTTTCCAAACCTTCAACCTTTTATTTCTTTCGCTTGCCTTATTGTACTGCAAGAGCTTTCTGTTGAATGCTGAATAAAACTAATGATCGTGGACACTCTTCTCTTGTTCTGTGCCTAGAAGGGATGGCTTCAACATTTCATCATTAAGTATCGTTTTTGATGTGGGTTTCTTGTAGATCCGTGGTTGTCAAGCCCTACCAGGGCTAGGGTTACCTGGGAGGCTTATTAAAACCCAGACTCCTCCCAACCCCAGCCCCCAGGGTTTCGGACTCAGAAAGCCTGGATGAGGCCTGAGGCTTTCCATTTCAGACAAGTTCCCTGGCCATGCTGATGCCCTCTGAGAACCATTCTGGTAGAAATTCTTTATCTGGTTAAGGAAGTTCCTTTCTATTCTTAAAGTTTTATTTTAAAATCATAAATGGAAGTTTCTTCAGCTTTGTTTCTAATTTATTGAGACAATTGTGTATTTTCTTCTTTGCTCTATTAATCTACCAAACTGATTTTCTGACATGAAGCTTGCATTCTTGGGACCCATTTAATTTGATCTGATAGTGTGTAATCTGATCCTTATCCTCCTTTTTGAATGCAATTGCTAAGAGTTTTCCTGAGATTTTTTTTTTTCCCATTTATGAGTTCATTGCTGTGTCTATAGGTTTCCTTTCTCATGCTGTTCTTGCCAAGTACAGTGCTTAGCTGGGCTTAATACTGAAAACACGGAAGTCATTACAGTCATTAGTATGCCCTTATAACCCTCTGCTAACCCGCGAGCCTCCTAAAGGGAGGGCCCGCACCTCCTCACTCGCTGCTGCCTGCTCAGAACCTCGCGCTGAGCTGGATACAGAGTAGGGATAGCTGCGCTTATATCAAGCAGTGTGGGGCGGGGGCGCATGTACGAGCCGATTCACAGGCTGCCCTGGCGGCTCAGTGGTAAAGAACCCGCACGCTAAACAGGAGATGTGGTTTGATCCCTGGGTCGGGAAGACCCCCTGGAGAAGGAAATGACAACCCACTGCAGTATTCTTGCCTGGGAAACCCCATGGACCGAGGAGCCTGGTGGGCTACAGTCCATAGATTTGCTAAAGTGTCAGACTCAACTGAGCAACCAAACAACAGCGAGCTGATTCCCCTTGTTGTACGGCGGGAACTGACACAGCACTGTAAAGCAATTGCAGCCCAGCAAAAGCATAATAACGTGGGACTAAATAAAATGAAATGGGGATTAAATAGCTGTACAATAAGAAACCAACAGCTACAGTAAGGCATTCATCCTGTGGGAGATGAGGGGGAACAGAGAGTAAAGAATAAACTTCGGTTGGATGCCTACTGTCTGCCAGGAGCTGGCCTGGTCCTCAAACCATCCGAAAGGTCAGCATTGTTCACAGTTCACAGACGAGTAGACAGGGGCCCCACCCCAGGCAGTCTCTCATCAGAGCTGTGAGGTGGCTGAGGACTCTGATGCCGCCCCGTCCTTTGAAAAATGTCCGTGTGTGGCAGGAATCGTTTCACAGGCTGCCTTCCTTCTAGTAATGAGAAGCAGATGTCCAGCTCTGGTTCCCTTCTTGCATGGGCTGCTAGGAAGCTCAGAGTCTAATTATGAGCTTAATCAAAGGTGCTAGTTTGATTCTCATGGTCATAGATATGCTTGTCCTTTCCCATGGCCTTTGTGTCTGAGATTTTTCCTGCTTTGAGGTCTTTATTTTTCTCTACTTTTTAGTCACCTATTTGCTGAACATTTCCTTATTCTAACTAGGCTGGAATCCCTTGAGAAATGTGTCAAGGGAATAACAAATGAAAAATAGGCAATAAGTAGGTTTCCCTGGTGGCTCAGCGGTAA